TGTCGCCCTCGTCTGCTTTCTTCCCCCTCGATGATTTCGCCCTTTTCCCGGAAGACTCACCGGTTCTTCGCTGTGTCGACGAGTCTTTTGGCGTTTCATCCCCACCTCCAACCCTTTTCCTCTTCTCAACGGAACCGCCCTCTCGTGTTGTTGGCGTCCGAGCACTCCCTCCTACCTTTCTCTGCCTTTTTAGAGCACCTAGTCCCTCTCGCTCTTCCTCATCCGGCAAGTTGCGCTTGCCTCCCGACTGAGTCTTTTCAGCCGATCTCTCACCGAACAGCCCCTGCTCGGACACCTCCTCACCGACGACGTTCCCACTTGCTTCTCGTTCCTGGCTCAACTCCGTCTGTAGTTCCCCAGGCGCTGGTCGGGCCCGGCGAGTCGTCTCATCTGACCCACGCACCTCTCGAACCTGCGGACCACCCGCTCGATCTCCAGGCGAAACCTCGGCTACCTGCATGCCACGAACGAACAAACCGATCCTTTCGACCAGACCACGAGGAGTCGTCGATTCTGAGCCCTGTTGCAACCGTTCGCCATCGCCGCCTCCATGTGGCGTCGACTCCCCAAGCAAACCGTGGCGGCGAGATACATGCAAGCCCGGTTTCAAAGGAGCACGCGGATGGTCGTCCTCCAAGTCGTCTAACATGCCCACCTCTTGATCAGGAGGCGTAGCTGGCAGGCCGCCCTAACCTCCCATCTCCCTTTCAGAGCACTCTCCTCCCGCGAACCCAACAGGACCACTGATCGATGTTCCAGGTCCGACGTCCACAGCACTGACAGAGGTACCAGATTTCACCCAGACCTCGAGGAAGTCTGTGACGTGAACGACCTCATCGTGCCCCGGCGCTAGCGGGAGAAAGTGAGGCAAAGACATCGCACGACGGCCGTACCCGCCGAACATCCTCCCGGCAACCTTGCATCCCTTTGCGATGTCGTCGACAGAACCATCACTTTTGTAATGCTTCTTCAACGTAAACTTGAAATTGAATTCGCCATCGTCGACCCACTGGACGATGGACCCTGCGAGACGCGTTCTGTCGGCGTGAACGGCAACGAACAAGAGCGGCCCGCACGGTGGTTGCAACGGGTGGGAGCCGTCCTGGCTCGCCCAGTCCAAATACCAGACACGTTTGCTGTAGTCGCACCACAAGTTTTAAGCACGTCGCTCTTCCTCCCCACCTCCAACTCCCCGACTCGTTTCCCTTGCCGGCGACGACGTCGTCCCTCGACGCTCCTCTCCGTGCGGGGCGGAACCACTAGCGGAGCGGCTTCGTCCGTGTGTAGCCATTCCCTGAAACACACGGAGGAAATGAACCCACATGCACTCAGAATAGTCAGCACGTCCCAACATCAACCACGACCCACAGCACGTATTCTGTCATTGGTCACCCGGACTCCAAAAGAACGAAGTTCAGTCATAGTTAGACGACAATGGTCCACAAGCCTGGACGTTTCGGATGAATCCGAGGCATCATGAGCCATCCTCGTCAAACTGCCCTTAAGAGAATGAATGGTCGGAAACGAAGACCGTGGGATAGATCGGATTCATCCGAAGCAGGCGTAGTCGAAAAACCGATGTCGCATAGGCACCTGCCGCGGGAAAAGCAACACCTCGCAAGAAGGCCCTAGAACGCTGATACGGCAGACGAAGACGAATACGTTGTCATCCGAAGTCGACAAGTGGATTGTAAAGTCCGTCGTTGTAGTTCGGATGAATCCGAGCTACAAAGCGGTGTCGACCTCCCCCTGTCGGCCCGTACGAAACTGAACTCGAGTTTTCTTGTCCTTCTGAGTCGGTAACGGTTGTGACTCGGATGCATTCGAATTCGAACAGCGAGGTCCAGCGACGGTCATCCACAAGAGGTCATCTATAGCACGTGTTTTCATCACCGACCTGCGAGCACTGGGTTAACCCTATCCTGCCGGAGGTTCGGTTCGGTTGAACCTGAACCTCGCAAATGTGGCTCGGATTAATCCGAGACGGGGACCGGCGGATGGACCCCACGGTCTGTTGACGCCCATCCAGCCATCCAAGCTTCCGTTATTCCCCAACTGTCGTTGGGTCCAACCGAATTTCGCACGGTGTGTCTTCGTCCATGAGTGTTTAAGCCGGGTGTGGCTCGGATTCATCCGATTTCGACAGAGGCTGTCCCGATACGTGCGACCACGACAGGCTGCGCCGACACTGTGTGCTTTCGACGTACAAGTTTATCAGACCGTGCGACGTCGCCGATACCCTCTGCGCATGTGGTTCGGATTAATCCGACTTCGCCGAGGCGCTTCGCTTTGTTGTCGCCCCACCACACACCGGACCTCCCCGCGATTGCCGTAGTGTGTCATTATAATTTGTGCGTCATCACGGGGGATATCGTCGTCGTCGTGAGTTTTAGTTGGTTGTTGCTCGCCCTATCCGAACAACAGACACGTTTGCTGTAGTCGCAGCACAAGTTTCTAGCTCGTCTTTCTTCCACCGAGCGTAACCATCTCGACTCGTTTTAGTTGCATGAATCCGAGGCATCGTTGACCCTCGTCATCAGACTGCCCTTCTTAGAGCGAATGGTCGACGACGAAGACAGCGTGGTAGTTCGGACACATCAGAACTGGGCAGAGTCGAGAGACCGACGTTGTGACTCGGATGCATCCGAATTAGGCCGACCACTAGAGGAGGACATCGGCACAGCGTGTTTTCCTCAATGACCTGTGAGCAGAGGGTGGACCCTATCCTGTCGGAGGTGTGGTTCGGATTTATCCGAGACGGAACGGTTTTTTAACAGCGTGGGACTTTGTCGTTCACGTTTATCGGAACGTTCGGCGTCGTAAATACCGTCTGTGCATGTGACAAATCCGAGTATGCCGTCAGTGTGGTTCGGATTAATCCGAACTTCGCCGGGTTGCCTCGGTTAGTGGTCGCCCCGTGAGTTTTAGTGGGTTGTGACTTGGATGGAACCGAAATTACCAAGGGTGGCTCAGTTGTTGCGCCACCACAAGATGGTATGGACAGGGTGGGCTGCCGTCCTCCTGGTTGGTCAAACATGTCGCCGTCGACAATACCCTATGAGCATCTGATCACTCCGTATCCTGTCCTGTGTCCAAGTCAGCGGAAGGGTTCCTCGCGGCGTTCGGCTGACGCGAGGTTTGATAGGGTTTAAAGATTTGAATTCACATTCGCCTCCTGTGTCTTCGAATCTGTCGTAGCCGTCTTCGAATTACTGATCTCTGATTGCACTCAAGGGGGGACCAACCTGAGATCGGTTGAGCGACTGTCTGCGATACACAAGGATTGGAGAAAGGCAGAAAACCCGCATAGACACGGAAGGGAGACTAAGATCGATAGAGACATCGACAAGGAGAGGATGCGCAACGAGAGAGCCTCTCTTTAGCTCTCTGTCTCTCCATGTGCAAATCCTGTGGATGGTGTTGTCCATTTCGGAATTCGCAATGTGACCTGTTAATAAAACGGCACGAAAGAAATTTAAGAAAAAATTGTTCGTGTCGGCGAGACGAAGACTGGCAAAAAATTTGAAAAAATGTGGAGGACACTCATCTCGCCCGAAACTCCTTCATCTCTCCCCGATCAGATGGCACACTCACACGTTCGCATGTCATGTCCTGAACATGCGTGGCCACGCTGATGGACGCGGGGCTATATTGGAGCCTCGCATCCATTCTGTTGCCGCATAGAGCCCCTTTGTCGCATCGAGCCCCGCATCCATCAGCGTGGCCACGCTTGTTCAGGACGTGACACATGGACGTCTGAGTGTGCCATCTGATCGGTGCGAGTGATCGCCACAGAAACGCATGCATTCTTGCTCCGGAAACTCCTTCATCTCGCCCCGATCAGATGGCATACTCACACGTCCGCACGTCATGTCCTGAACATGCATGGCCACGCTGATGGGTGTGGGGCTATATTGGAGCCTGGCATCCATTCTGCTGCCGCATAGAGCCTCGCATCCATCAACGTGCACACGCTTTAGAACTGACACGTGGATGTTTGACTGTGCCATCTTATCGGGGGGAGTGGTCGCCAATGGAACGAGATCCGCAAACGCACCCCGAGGTAAGTTCGCGAAAGAAACAGGCTAACGCATAAGACGAACGAAATAGAGGTGCTGAAGACAAACTAACGACAGGGACGAAGATGGTAGTTGAACACGACGGCACACACGTCCACGTGTCAAGTCGTGAGCATGCGTGGCGACGCTGATGGGTGTGGGGCTCTATTCGACAACATTTTGTTGCCGCATAGAGCCCCGCATCGATCAGCGAGCCCACGCTTGTTCAGGACCTGCCACATGGACATGTGAGTGTGCCATCTGATCGGGGCGAGTGGTCGCAATGGAACTAGATTCGCGAAAGCAGGCCGACGGAAAAGACGAACGACATAGAGGCACTGATAGAAAACTGACGAGGACGGTGGTGGAACACGATGCTGTTGGTTCTGTCTCGTTCGTTTGTCTGCGCTTGTCAGTTACGTTCGCAAACTTTGTGCGAACGACACAGACAAGCGCAGTGAAACGAGCGAGATAAAAGAGAGAAAGAGAGATAAAGAGATAGCGAGAGAGAGAGAGCGCGACAGAGAGGCGATCTCCGCCTTCATCACACGGCCCAATCAAACGTCACGATCAAATAGCCCCGAACGTCATAGACTCCTTATCACACATCGTACTCAAGGAGAGAAATCCCTGTTGGATCACACGACACTGCTCGTTCGCGGCGAATGAACCTAATGTAATAGCCACCGCGCAAATCCCGACTACACATCGCGTACATGTGTGGGCATTCTGACGGTCTACGCAAACCCAGCATGGCAGGACTTTTCAGGTAGGTGGAGATGGCAAGAGAAAGAGAGATAGAGAGAGAGAGTGAGAGAGGGAGAGAGACAGAGAGAGAGAGAGAGAGAGAGAGAGAGAGAGAGAGAGAGAGAGAGAGAGAGAGAGAGAGAGAGAGAGAGAGAGAGAG